CTTTTAATATAACTAGTTTCTTAAAAAAATTGATTCGATCAAGAATCAGAATCTCAGTTTATTGTAGAATTATATTTTATAATTCTATCTAAATTAGAAATTCTCTTATGGATTTCTTTTTCACTAAGAGATTTTATGTAAGTTTCAATCGATTTTTTAGCAAAGAATTTATTTAAAACGTAATTATATATAAGGAACCCAGTACATAAACACGATTGCACAGAGTTTAATCGACGTAACTATTTCGGGAGCCTTTATGGCAATGACAATGGTGTTTACATTCTCGACGTTCTCCGAAGGTCTCGTGTTCCAAAAAAATGCCTGAGGCTTCCTCAACAATAAGTTTGCGAGGAATATTGCGAAACGCATGCCTCGACTCTCGCATCTTCTTCTATCTATATCTGATTTTCTCTTCTTTTTCTTGTCTTTTTCTTGTCTTTTTCTCGCGCTTTCTTTGATACGCAGCAAAAAAGTGTTGATAAAATGGAAGGCTTTAATTTCATGGAGATCATATCGATCGTTGGGCTTGATGAATTCGAGAGACAACGGAGAAAACCGCAATTCCCGGGACAAATTCTCTGTTCCACAGGAAAATTTAATTCAATGTTCTTGTCGACGAATTTATATTGTATGTATATATATATATATAAAATTCCGTTAATCAACCATCTTTTTTATTTTCTTACACACATTTTCTACACTCGTGACAAGATTTCTGTAGTTATTGTAATTATTTTTTTATTTTTTTTCTCGTAATATCAATATTGCAACATAATGCTGATATTAATTTAAGAAAATAATTAGTGCATTAATCGAGATAAATATTTGTCTTTCAGTACTTCTTTCTGTCACTACTTTTAACTTCCATTTCCACTAGCTTGGTATTAGGTTGATACATATTCAAGTTTCTTTCTCAGTAAATAACCACTTGGCAACGAAAGGATCATTAACGCATATGCCGTGACGTCAGTTAATTTGCTGGCGATGCGGATTACTTGTGCAGTATTACTTTGAGACGACTATGTTGCACATCATGTTGCACGTTGTCGATGATGATGCTGATGATGATGATGATGATGATGATGAGAACGATGGCAGATTTCTTGCGCTTGCCACTGATAGTTTGAGACGAGTTCTTTCAATCTTCTCAAGCTGCGGATTACCGAGTGGTGACTTTGAAGGGAAACAAAGCGTCATTGTTGCTGATTGCGTCTGTTTGTTTTCTCGACCTGCCAAATGAACTACTACGCCACGGTCGGAAGGCAAGAGAGGTAGGGCAAGACAAGGACACAATTTCAGAGTACGAAGAAGACAGCGGTAACGACTCCATCAGTCTCCGATCCTCAAGGAAGATCGCTTCGTAAAATTTAATTTTTCCCTGCCTTCTTCCCTCTTCTCTTTCTCTTTCCTTCGTTCGACGAAGAAAGAATCTCGTGCGAAGACTTTAGCAAACTTGACAAATCGGATTACGACCAGGAGAGAAAGAGAAAGAGATAGGAGAGTGATTAAAGAAGCGCGGAGGCAACTTTCGTAGATAGTTGGGTCGCGAGTTTACTCTGCGAGTTACATTGTTTTTGTATCGTTCACTGTGATTACGTTCGCTCGCCTTGTTGTTTTTGCGGTCTACGCGACGTCAGAAAATATCAAGTTCGAACTCGCTACTCGGAATTCTGAGTAAATTTGCAAATTTGCAGTGTGCGTATGGTCGAAAATTTACCCTATCATTTCGCAATATTCATTTCGTATTCATTGCGTTTAACAAAGCACGCGTTGCGATTCTTTTCAAAAAGTACTTTTTCCTTTCATCTTTTTTCCTGATAGAATTATTAATTAACATGCAAAATTTAATTCACGCACGACAAAAGAAACTTAGCTGTCTACTTGTTCGCCTTCTTTTCTTTAAATAAGGAAAAGAATATGATCTGGTGGAACTGCTAAGGTTTTCTTCAAAAGCTCTAATTAGGGAAGATCGTGGAGAATTAATGGCCTGCAGATATGTCATTTTGATGAAGATGCTTAACGGCAATTTCGTCACGGACTCTGGGAAAGTATAGTTTAATTTTGTTCTAATTTGATGGGTGCTTAACAGGAACCTTTCTTTGTACTTTGCCATCTCTTCACTTACCGTTTCTCCGATCGTTTCTCACTGCATACTTCAGCCGCGACTATATATTTCTTCGTCTTTCTCGTCATTTCTTTTAATAGAATATACGCATGCTCTTTTTATGTCATTTGTTAGATTAATTTCTTTATCGAATTACAATGCATGAAAACTGTAATTGTGAAATATAATATACTAATTATAACAATAAAAAATAGACTTTTAGTATAAATATAATGAACAAGGAAAATCAGAATGCTGAATGATAATAAGTATTAATAACAAAAATATACAAACATTTTGATGAAGTCGATATTAGCTGCATGTCTCATTGTAGTTCCTAAGTCCTTGCCTTAATATTTGTTTTCAGTCCCGTGAGAAAGCCGACAAACTGGGAAATCATACAAAGTGTTTCTTTTATTAAATAAAAATTCATTTTGTACGATTCGGTGAGAAAATAGAATTAACAATTAAACGGAAGACGAAAGAGAAAAAGGAAGAGAAGGGAAGGAATGCAATTGACATGGAATTTTGAATACTTTCCAACATTATTACTGGGTCGCGCGTTGAGAGAACAAGAATCGATCTCTTTTGTGTGCATCGCGACGATCAGTCGTGTTTATAGCAATTATTTAAATTAATAAATTGGCAGAGCAAATGCTCTTTTCCGATTTACCGTGGAAAATGAGAATGAGTGACAAGGAGAACGAAACGAAGTATGTACATGCTGCATGCGATCGGTACCCGATCGGTTCTCTCACTTGTTTTGGATTCCAATTACTCTTCGAGCGACTTCCGATAGCGTTCTCGCGGCGTCAAAGGGGTAACTTCACTTTGAAACTGCTTTCGCAATCGATGGCGGGGCAACAATGTTGGCTTTACGCGACTGCCGCGAGATAGACTGACTTTGCGTGGCAAATTAAAGATAAGTATTCAATAAGCGAATAAACACATTACTATTAATTACTATTTACTATTATACTACTAACACGCACGTGTATCCATTAATCTTATGTATATATCATCATACTTAATAAATAATACATCTTATGTATATATTATAATTATTATTATTATTAATAAATAATATATATATATATATATATATATATATATATATATATACTTGTTTATTAATTGTGTTAATGTATATGCATTATTTGTACATTATCTATCATTCTGTCAAATTCTTTTTTATCTAGGAATTTTTCGATAAATTTTATGTCAAATTTTCTTTAGCGATAATTTGGTATTAAATTTTTTCTCAAAGGTTATTGCTTTAATTTTTTTAATTAAATCTTTCTATTTTTCTATAATTTCTCAAACTTTAGTTTTTTTACTGATTACGAAAAGAAGATTTAATTAATTCTACCCATTTTAGACTATTCTTTAGCAATTTGAAATAATATTAATTTTTTATGTATATTTTTCATGCTATTTATGATTATATATATTTAATACACTATCATTTGTTTTACTCCGATTGTGATTTTATATAAAAATAGATCATCTGTACTTGCTACATTTATATCCAAAGTTTGACACACGTGCTTTGTTTTCAGATTCATAAAGTCATCAAATTCAGATTCACAAAGCCATTATTATTTTGACATTAATAATAGCAAATAGCATCAGATTTCATCATTGACACTTACGATTTAAGATATCTGAATATCATTGACTTTGAATATTTTTTTTCCGATTTACAATTAAATTGAATCATCTTATTACGAGTTAATAATGGGTGATACCTTGTGACCACCTTGTTCGAGACTTTTTTTAAACAAAAATCATCTTTACTTCTTTCCGCTTCTCGAAACAAAGCATTTTCTTTCTCATTCACTAAAATAGATGTTTACTAATTTACTAATTACTAAGATCTTAACCACAATAGATAATGAATAAATTTTATATTTTGGTACGTATGCGTGTCTTTAATAATTAATTTTTCTAGTATCTTACTAATTCTTTACTTTAATATAATAACTAAAGTATAATTGATATACAATTTTCTCTTAATATCATAACTTTACTTTGTAATATGCTTCGATTATTTTAACCTATTTTACCGCAAAATAATTAATTAGGTCTCAAGTTTACAAACAAATTATTTCATTCTTAAATACAACTAAAATTTTTGTTATTTCACATATCACTTTGTAATTAACTATGTACTTATGACGTCAGCGCATGCCGACCAATACGAAAATAAAGAAAATAAAGGTGGTAAGAGCGACCAACCGTGCAATCTGTGTCGAGGTGCGTTAAATCGGGCATTAGTAATTACGCGTAATATGTTGCTGCTTATAGATTAATCGATCGATATTAGTTACGCTCTAAGGAAGACACGTGGCATCTCCGAGCGTTTACTAATGAGGCTTGTACTTTAAGACTGAAAATATTCATCATAGAAAATAGCATCTTAGAGAACATATTAATACATTTTAAAATCGTTTAAGAGATTTTAACAATGTTTTATGAGCCTATTAAATTTATTAATAGATAAATATATGATGTTTTAGGTTCTGATTTATAACATTTTTCAGATATTGTCTTAAAATAGCTTTACACATTTCATTAATAGCTTTATAGCATATATAATTTAGATATGTAATAGACACATTTTCTAAATATCTGGATGTATGTTGTGTGTATATATATATCATTGATAATATAATTTTTTAAATATAAACGTGTGAGATATTAATGATAAGAAACATTTAAATAATATTTTTTTATGTTTAATTTTATATATTGCGTTAAGGAAAATTCTAGCAAACGTAATTCCTAAGATTGCACATTTGGAAATTTTAATATGGAAATCTAACATTTATTGCTTAGATTTGAGCGAAAACGGATTAATTTCTTTCTTCATTCTTCTTTACACACACGCGCGCGCACACCACACACACATCGCACGCGCGCATTTCCATTGTACATTTCTTGCTTCGTACACGGTTGCCAACCTACTATTATGTTTCGCGTGAATGGCAGCTTGAAAGAAGCCACTCCTGAACAGTTATTTTCCGTGAACAAAGACGGTACCTATACCAATTTCTTCTTTTTTATATCAATTTCATCGCCAACTCATTGCATTCGCTTTTGTCCGTTTGTTTCCTTTTTGGACGCACGGCGGTCTTAATTGGCTATATCAGGAGCAATAGGAAGAGATTCTATTATTGCCAAGATATTACATTTTTATTCTTTTTGTTTCAGGTATGGTCCATAAATTCACCGACTCTATAGAATTTCTCTACGTCGGTGAGTTGTATCAATACTTTTTATGTATCATAATCGAATTTCGGATTGAGTCTACTATTTCATCCTATTATTTTTCATCAGAAAGAGCATCATAAAATCTAATTTGATTATAAAACCTGAACGCATGTTTATTTTATTAATTAAATCATTAACATGACGCGGTCTCCCATTTCTATAAATTATCAACAATAAACAATAACAAAAAAATTAACTAAATATAATAATTCTAAAATGCTACTTTTTTTATTATATTTCTTACTGTTAAAATAATAATACAATAGATACAATGAATAAAATACTGTTTGCCATTGACTCCATGAAAGAGTTAGTAATTACAGTTGATGTTTTAAGTTGATTTTCAAAGAAATACCGAAATATTTCCAAGAAATCTCATGAAAGAAAGTTCACATTTATTTCTTTCTTTTATTAATTTTTTAAATTTTTAGAAAATTATAAATTATACTAAATTTTTTATTCATTCTAAATTTCTCTTTTATACTCCTTTGAAATTTACTCTTTACAGTTTAAATCTAAATTACTTTCGATTTAGTTTTATTTTATCCTCGTTCGTTTCTCGAAATCATAAAAGTAAGAAAACATCTCTTGCTATTGCTTGATTAAAATCAAGAGGAAAGCGAATCTAAGGATCTCGTCGGAACACTTAGATTTAACACTCAGCTTCGTCGTTGATGCACAATCGGTGAACAACGGCGATGGCCCGGAAACTGCGAAGTAATGGGGCGCCGAAAAATAAATAACGAAAAATAACGATAAATTCATCAACAAACTCGCGGGCTGGTCCCGTATTTTTATCTCTCGTGTTTACCAGTCTCTATGACTACTCCGGGTACATCCGATAAAATAAATCATTCGAAGGGAGAAGGATAAGAAAAGGAGGTAGAGGTCTCGTGAACCCTCGTATCTACGCCGTAGATCATCGATAATAATCGGTATGAAAAACCTAACCGGGAAACTCAATCTGGGAGTGATAACCTTTTCGGGTGGAGGAAACACGAAATTCATTGGCGATTCCACTGGTGACGCTTCCGCCAATATTTCCTCATTACAACAGCGAAGGTAACGAGATGGGAAAGAGAAAGGGGACAGGAGGAAAATAGGAGGCGAGGAAGAAGGAGTGAGAGAGAGGAGGAGGGGGGGGGGAAGGGAAAGGGAGTAAACATAACGCGAAAAACGAAGAAGCCCGCGAGAACGGCTTCGATCAGATCAGCTGTCCTACAGGGGATACTTTCCTAGAAAATCCTTAAATAAATCTGAAGGAATTATCAAGGCTTATAACAAGAAGAGTATAAGGCAGCATGCGTGGGGCACGAGAAAAACCTGTGTAAATGACAGGGAATTAAGACAAACTAATAATTGAGACAAACGTCATCGAGATGATTGGAGAATCATCTTGCACAAATTAATTTTTTTCTTTTCTTTTTTTCTAAGATAACGTGTTAGAAGTTATTTGTTCTGAGATAACGCGTTAGAGCTATTCACTATGTGAATAAATAGTTGGCTAGCGATTCCATTCGCGCGGTAAATTTGGTAGTAAATTGTCGTTTTAACTGTTGCCTTAAACGTTTAGTAGGTGTTTGCGCCCGTTATGAAGCTTTCCTGACATCATTGGTTTTTATTAAAGTCCCCGCGATACAGCTGATAGCCGAATAATCGAAGACATGTATAAAGAAATATATAAAAATTTGATATATTCTGCGCAATGAAAATTTCACGTAGCTTCGTGAATTTCACAATAGCATCACTTGTTGCAAAAAAACTTGTTAATTAAAAAAATTATGATAATATTTCTTGTTAATAGGTATCTTTCTCGAAATTGATGATTTAATCATTAATAGCATTACTACAAACCTCTATTTTCTAAACGAATTTAACAGAACGTTACATTTTAATAGTACTATTTTCTTACTAAAATAGTATTTTGTTGTTTATTTTATTTGTGCTGACGTTTTCCAGATTATTTTGAACATAATGTCACATTCTCTGAAAATTCTGTCAAATAAATTACGTTGGACTCTGAAAATTGATGCGCAATTTTGATATCAAATTTCAATGGATAACCGGCTTCATATTCGACAATGTGGGATAGAAAAGAATACTGCTGAATGATGAATATTTATATATGGATAGCGACAGATCGATAAGAGCTAGTCGACATTTGTTGTACAGACTACGCGTGTCCAAAAAAAGGATGTTGATTCATCAATATTTATGAATGTGCACAAACGTGATGAAAGATCTTTCGCACATTGAAGTAACGTAGGTTACACTTTGACAGAAATCGGTATAAAAATGTATATAATTGTATAATGACATACAAAATTATAGTCAATAGTTTTCTAACTTTTACATTGAATCTTGACAGAATATATTCTGATATTTTTTTTAAATTTTGCTTGCAATAAATAATCTTTAATAACTATATTTATTAATATAATATTATTATTATTTTGTATTTTTAGATGTACACGAGGAATCATGTTACTTTTCTTTAATTAGACTAACTGTCTAGAAAGATGAAAACTCAACTCGCAAAAAATTCGGTGCAAAATGTAATCAAACCCGATTAAAATGAAATGCAACTTTAATTTTTGAATTGGGCGTAAGAGTATGCAAAATTATCGAAATTTTTATAATTTTTTTTAAATTAAATTATATATATATATATATATATATATTTATATGTATTTAATTATGATACGAATAAATAGAAGAGAATAAAAATGAAATACTCACGTGCAACAATTTTATAAAAGTCTATATTTATTACACTACTAAATATTTAGAGATGTATAGATAAAAATATAGATAAAATAAAAATAATTAGCAAATAATTCTTAAATTTTTTGGTTTGAAGATCAACGTATCTCTTCTTTTTTATGTTGCTTGGCAACAATCATTCGCATGTCGATCACGTAGTATCGCTCTTCATTTTTTATGTATTCGAGATTTTTGGAGTCAGAGCAACCCTGTATGTATTCAAAATCGAGATTTTCTCTTTTCAATTCAGGAAGATTCTCTGCGCGTACAGGGGATGCCCTCTTTACGAATCATCATCGTCGTCGCCGTCGCCGTCGTCGTAGTCGTCGTTGTCGTCGTCGTCGTCGTCGTTGTCAACTCATCGTCGTCAACTCATCGTCTATTCAACATCAAGTTTGCACAGGACGACGACGGTCGTTAGGATGTGTAAACTTCAAGTACGCGACACACGAGATTCTTTTTATCTCCATCGTCGACGTCGAATTCGTGGATCCGTCTTGCTATGAACTTTGGCGCTTCTCGTGCGAATACACGCTCGCATCTCGTCTCGTTTTTCATGATAGAAAAGTGCGTGTGTCAGGCATCTTTGCTCCCTGAGTTGGAGTGATTCGAGTATAATTCTGTATGAATATGTCGTGACAGGCGCGGCTGGTAAATAAGAGTATCTAGTAACGTTAGTAAATTTTCTAAACTAGACTCTCATCTCTTTCTTCCTTACGCCCGTTCTTTCTTTGCTTTGCAAAAATAAATTTGATTCTCATCAATAATTAAACAAGAAGTTTAAGTTTTATTTTTCTATTAATCTATATTTTTAGGTTTAATTTATCACATTCTTCTTTCGTAAATATTAATCATAATAAAGATTAATTTGAATCAATTCATCATTTTTGTGATCATTCATTCATCACCTTTAAAAATATTAGAAACATTTAATTTAAAAACATTTTAGAAATAATAATTTTTTTCAAAATAAGAGTACCATATATCTTATTTGACTAATCAATCTACAAGCAATCGAAAATATAAGGAGTTGATTTAAATTAAACGCCAAAGTCGCTATACTCAAATAACAAAAGCTCATTTCTTATTCAATCTCTCAAGCAGATTTTATTTTATTTTAATATTATTTTAATTTAAGTTTTATTTATTGAATTATTTTTATTTATGCAATATTGAAAGTTCAAAAGATTATAGAGAGAATAAAAATTCATCGAATTGCGATAAGATAACAATATATCTGAGATCAGACAAAGAAATCCATAGGCCAATCTGCGATCATTCATCAATATTTCCGTACAATATTATAGCAACCGTCTTGATTGACTAATTCAGCATTATTATTTCGATCTGTCTTCCTCAGAAGAGACAAGGACCGACGCGATCGATGAGGTATCTCGATCACTCGGGGATATATTCGAGGGAGATCCGAGGAGAGTATGGGCCGCAGTGCGTTATCAACGTGCCTTGGCCGCAACGTTTCCGCGCACGGACAATTGGACGAAACACAATCGTGGTCGAATATCATGCATAACCAGCCCGCACGTCGACTGTCATCAACATTGTTGCGGTGCGATGTCTATCTGGAGGGTCGACGAAGTGAGCTCGCTAGGGGATGCCCGCGTTTGTGTATATTCGCTATTACAAGTTACTTAGTAGTGAGTTATCTCGCACGGATTGACGCCTCCGACGACGGATGGTACACATCACAATTAGATGCGTGCTGAAAAAACCATGCAAGATCGAAGACGATGTCGTTAATCAGTAGTTACGCTTACGGATCTTTTCTGATAAATAGTAATAATCCCTGCTATTTTTTTTGTTCCATTTAATTTTTGTTGTATACTCGTTTAACTATCATTTTTGCTACATGTACATTGGATCTCTAATGAAAATATTGACATTATTTTTGCCATAATAAGCTAAATTTTTCCTTTGAATATCCTGTATATATATATATATTACTATATATTTATTATCCATTCCATATTTGCAGATTTTATATTTGCAACAATTTGATACCTCTGTAACCTTTGTAAATAAAGAATGATCGTATTGAATTAGCAAGGAATTATAGAAGGAGGCATAGTGTGTAAGCGGTGTGTAAGTCAAGTTTGAAAACTATTTTTATACTATCATTTTTATTACACTATTCGTTTCTTTTTGAAATGTCTTTTAACATACCGCTTATCATTTCTCAATGATGTCAAATGATGAGCAATCAGTTTAAAGCGTTTATTGTTGTGAAATATTGCAATATTCATATTTATGTCATTGTTACGCTAATTGGGCGTAATAATTATTCCATTAGTATATATTATATTAATTACAACGCAATAATTACGTCATTGTCATGTTAATTGAATTTGACGAGTAAGATGGTACGTGGATGAGGAGCGCAAACGTTGCATCGTTACATGGTTACACTCTCGCATTTTAGTTCGGCATTGCGCGTTAATTAGAACGCGAAACAAATGTGGCGTAAGCGGTACCGCAACATGGTTCGCGCGGTGCGACACAACACGATATGCGACAAATACAAACGGACGCATTGCAGCACTGCGCGCACACGCGTGATGACGTGAGAAATGATGCGATTAATCTGTTTCTAATTGAATCATCTCTATATATCGCGTGATTGTCGCCTGCAAATGTCAGCCGATAGATATAGCAAATGATATATTGCGCACGTTTAGGTATACACTTCTCTCATGTTGATGATAGACCACTGTTTGCTATTGCCATACACCTGGACCAATCGACGATTTCTTGTCAAATGCAAGTTAAACGTTATTGCTTTTGTCTAACCGCAGCTTCGGTTTCATTCGTTTTGACTGATTTGACGATAAAAATGATCAGTTGTAAAAATATATAGCGTTGCGTTTAGATAATTTAAAATTATCTAGATAAAAATAAGATAAATTATATTTAAACTTATTTTACATAATGTAAAGATGATTTAAATTTCAATTTATCTAGATAAAAATAAAATTACATATCATTTATCTAAATAATTTTAAAATAATGTCTGATGTTGTTAAGTAAGACACAAGTAGGATACAAAAACAGTAATTTTATAAAACTATACTGTTACTATTTATTATAAGAGCATAAATGACGATGCGACACGATTAATGCAGTTCTTGATATAAATTATTTACATTATTTTAGTCATATATGCCAACGCGATCGTTCTTTGAACAATGTTCGTTGAAAAATATTTGATACGAACTAAATTTAAAATCGGATTCATATTTATATATAAAAATTTCGTACTTACTTAGCTGGCATCAATTAGTGTCTGTTATATGATTCGCAAACGTTCATTTTTATTTGGAATATTAGATTAAATCTTTTCATTATTACATAATTTACATAATTAAATTACTTAAATTACATAATTTAGATTTAGATAGAATTTGCAAAAGATAATACTTCTTTTATTTAAGATAAAAATGATAACATAAAGATGAAGATAATATATATTATTATCATCTAGACAAAGATAAGATAAAGCCATTTCTTCGTCTAGATAATATTACGTATATATAATTATACAGATAACGGTAAATTCTGAATATACGAAACATCAAAGAGAAAAAGAGTGCGACTATTTTTATATCGATGTAAAATAAGTCGAATTCTGTTACCTTTTTACTATATCTTCTAAATCATTTCTTATAATTTTTTATAATCAATGTTTATAAATATATCAATGTTTTTCGAATTATAAATCAATTTGCAACTTTGTTATGAAATATTATGTTCAATATTTAATGCGATAAATCTTTGATTTAGTTGAATAGTCTGCATTTACAGTACCTTCAAGGTGCGCAATATTAGTTATTTGAATAGTATAGTACCGAAACTTACTTCCGTACGGTACACATTCTCTAGGAGTGTTGATTGACTGAAAATATTTCATAACAAAATATCGCGCATCTTCGACCAAATTCGTATCAATATAGTGAGACAAAATTAAACATATACGAGTGATGATAAAAGAGCAATAAACGCTCGTCTACAAAACACGATTTTATATACGATTGTGGATATTACGAATGAAATTGTTTGCTCAATTATATGACGCTTCGTAGGCAAAACTAATGGAAGATTTAATTGTTTTTGCAACTGTTTACAACTATTTACGTAACTTCACTCGTGCGATTGCGTTTTTATCATGCCGACGTGGACCGGTTGCTTTTATTTAATTAAGAAATAAAAAAAGTTGCAAGTTTTCTCGATGCAAGTTTTCGTTCAATTAAAAGCGGTCAATTAAAAGCGAATTCTAGCTATTCTATATGAGTATTCCATAAATATTGGCATATGTTTTCTTGTTTTTAGGTGAATGGACAGGATGTTTCAAACTCTAGTCACGAGGATGCTGTACGCTGCTTCCAGTCGGCTCAAGAGCCAATTATTGTTGAGGTCCTCCGTCGACAACCCAGCGGACATCAACAAGTACTTCACACTACCTCAAAAGAGCCTGAAAGGATTACATGTCAAGATAAAAATGAAGGAACAATGAACGAGAAGGGCGTGGCAGATGATCAAATGTATAACGATGATATCAAGAAAGATAATTCGACGTGTTCCTTAGTGTCGACTGGGGTTCAAACGGATTGGGCTGGTCTCATAGAGGAGGAAGAATTACTTTCGGTTCCTCTCGTCGAAGAACAAGCGAACGATAGTTTTGAAGATTTTCTCGCTCATGATATTGACTTTGAGGTATATAATTATAGCAATTATAATAGCTATCGAATTTAGTTTCACATGATTACAAATATTCTCAGGCAATTTAATCGAGAAAATAATACATTAATATAAGCCGAATATGTGTTAATAAACCAATAGAGTCATAGTCAATCTTCGGCAAGCAGGATCTTGATTGCTAAATTTTTATATGTGAAAATAATTTTATATGTGAAATAAATTTCAAATAGTTTTTTATTACCAACCACGTGCCACTATTTTTGGCAGGCTTACAACGTAGCGATTCTGTAGCAATTCGATAATCAAACATCTTGATATCGATTAAAATCCTTTTTATTATCCCCCCTACAGGAAAAAAAACTGATTCAAATTGATTTTTATCAAATAAATCAGTAAATAGATCTTTTTAAACCCTACAACTTTTGTCTGAACATTTTTACAATTGGAACTTATCCTGCGAAGATAAAAGAGTGGTACGAGTGGTCTGAAATATCCGGTATATGATAATGTATTTCATTTTTCTATTTTTATTGAACAACAATAATATCAACACATTAGTATGTAATGAATCGGATATAAACACGAATATATTTAGTTTCATTTAACATTATGTATTATAACGCACATTAATAATGATTACAACATGCTATAGGAGGTGACATTGCAGAAAAGCGGAAGTGCCGAGAAGCTTGGATTGACGGTATGCTATAGCTCCGGTTCTGGCAGCGAAGATGCCGACACTGAGGTTTACATTTCGGAAATAGTTCCTGAAAGTCTTGCAGCTCGGGATGGTCGGTTGCGAGAAGGAGATCAAATCTTGCGGGTAAAAAGCAAAAGTTATCCATTATCATGTTTTTAGAATTACCCGAAATGAACGACGTGAACGTGCTGGCTCATTCTTGCTCCTCTCTCATTTAAACGCTGTGGCGCTATATTCGTATTACACAAAACTCGGAAAAAAATTCGGACACAAAACAAAATATTCTCAATTTTTAGAAATCATAACATTTTTCTTGGAATTAGCAAATAAAATAAAGTTTTTTCAGGATTATTTTATATCGTAATAATCGTAATTTTTCGAAATATTGAAAAATATTATTATCTTGCATATGTATTTTTTTCGTGATATATCCAATATATTTTTCTGTGACACATATAGAATATATATATTCATGATATTACATGATTATACAGTATTTATAGTAAAAAGAGATTTATTTTAATTATTTTTTCGTATAAAATAATGTATGAAGGAACTTTCTGAAGGCCCTGGAACAGAAATTAAGATTTGGAGGTTGCATGAGGATTTTTTATCAACTTGACATGAGCTATAAAATATGAAAATTTAAAGAAATTTGACTGAGAAACGTTTTTAAGATTTGTGCGTGGTTCTTTATTTCTTCGTTTTTATTCTTACTGCATTACAAGTGCAACTTTACAAGTGTAAATTCTGAAAAATTCACGTTGAATCAGGCCACGATTATTTAAAGTTTTGACGGTGTTCTAATTTGGATTTTTATATTTGGAATATGGGCCTTTTACACACACACACACACAC